CCGTGCAACCCGTGCAGGCCCGTCTGGTTCGTCAGCTGCTCCAGCCGTCGTCTCAGGAACCTTTGCTCGCGGGACAGCTGTTCCTTGTGCACGGCGTGCTTGCGCTCGCGCTCCTCCAGGCTCTGCAAGCACAATTATTGCATGCGGTATTGCTCACTTAAATCCTTACTCATTATCAATTCTTGGAAATGGAATCTTGGAGCGTATCGAATGGAACTCGATATCAATTGTTAAACAATTTCGATTAATGTATTGTAATGCTAAATATCGATATTTTACGCTTACTTCTTGTTCTTATTTCAGTTAAATCGAAAAAGAGAAATCATTTCTTCGTTTAAATATCTGTATTGAAGATGTTTCAATATGCAATAATTATTTTGATGTTTTTATGATTTGGATTTTGATTCCTTTATCACTTATATAATATGAAAATAAATGAGAAAATATATGCTAGACAAAATATATTTAGTTTTAAGAGAGATACCTTTGATTATATGTATTTTTGTTATTAGATAAGTTGTTGTTATTGTATCTACAAATTATTTATTATTTCATTTTTTCAGAACAATAGATAATTATAATTACAATATATTTCATATGATTTATAAAATTTTATGCATTTTATGTATATGTCCTATTAGATTTTTCAAAATGATTTTGACTTGTTTGCTTGTATTCAAGATAATTTTCAATTTTCAATTTAAAGAATTGATTTTTTTTTATAAAGAATTATTTGATTATTTTATTTTATGTATAATTGTGAAAAATATATAATTTAATTAAATCATAATTTATTAATTATTTAATATTATTTAATAAATTTTATAAAAGAAACAAATGTATTTAATAGACAAATATATAATCTCTTGTTACTAAACTAATAGAAAACTAATAGAAATAAATATCCGAATATTAATGAAAAATAAATCTTTGTTTATTTTATCTATTTAAATCTTGACCAATTGGTGATTTTACACAAGTCTCTTAAAGTTTCACAAATCTCAATTAACATTTTTGTATATTAATTTCTGTATTCCATATATATATAACATTCTGTAAATAAAATAAAAATTATCACGGTTTCATATATTTATAAATAAAAGAATTATATATTATCCAAAAATGATAGTATATAATTAAATGAAATAATTTAAATGAATTTGTTCTTTATTGAACTTTATTTTTAGATTGTTAGCCAATTTTTTGTTTTTAAAGATTTAGAAACTTTCAAAGTATTTCCACATTTTCTAGTCAAAGAAACAAAAACTTTTTGTCTGTTATTCTGTGTCGTTTTAATTCCTTCTTGTAATTATTGTTCTTTATTTATATGAAGATGGAGAAAAAATTAGAGAAACCATTCAAAATTTATTACTCCTAGACTAGAAAGATAAAGTTCTAACTTTTTAGAAATTTTCTTGATTTTTTTGTATTATCTTTATAATTATTTATACAAAAAAAAAATAAAAATTTATATTGAGCAATTCTTAATTCTATTTAATGAAAAAAACTTTAAAATATTTTACTTAAAAGAGTGAAATTATAGTTTATTAAAAAATTTATAAATATTTCATAGAATTATTTATGGAATTTATATATATATATATAGAAAATATACATAATATGCAAAATATTCTAATATAATATCTATTTTTTTGTAATATGTATATAGATATAATAATTTTCATATTTGAAATATTTTGAATATTTATGGATTTATAGAAAATTCAAAAAATGTAAAAATTTGCAAAATATTTATAATATTTATAATATAATATGGAAAATTTTCCTTTTTAGTATCAAACACTATTAACTTTTATGCAAAGGATAAAATTTATATAGATAATTGAGGATAAACTTTATATTATGGTTCACGGTTATTAAATAACTGAGATATCTGTCCCATATGTTCTGTCTGAAATATCACATACAATGATAAATATTCTTTTATATTCTCTTGAAACTTTTTCTAAATATTGGTATTTTTATTAATGCTATAATTCAGTTTTATATATACGTTTCAATTAAAATAAAAATAATAAATAAATTTATCAAAAAATAAAAATATATAAAATAAAAAAATAATTTTTCATAATAAATTATCCAATCAATTTATTTGTCGAATTTTTAAGCATCACATCTCGATCAATCAAATTGATTAACATTAGAAAAAACTATAATTAAATTTTTTAAACAACTGAAATTATCTCTATCTCTGTGTTTCGTATGAAAATTAATAATAATTTATTTTATTATATATTTTATTATATTATTATATATTTATTATATATACATATATTCCTCATTATATATTAATATTATATATTCATATATTCCGTATTAATATTCAGACCATTCAATATTAATAATAATCTAATATTCAATATTAGATATTCATCATTATACATATATTTATCATTATTCATATTTTAATTCATTAATTTTTTGTTTCGAACTCGTGATCTTCTCAATCTTTCTAAATTACCAATTTACAAAATCTTCTTTTAAAATTTACTAATTTTCGATAATATATTGTTCAAATAAGAATATTGCTCAAAAAATAATAGCAAATAAAAATATTCTAATAGCAAATAAAAATTTCACTTAACTTAAGAAACAATAATCATCAAATTGATTACAAAATGGTATCAATCAAACTAATCAAAAACAATATAATACAAAAAAAAGAAAGAAAGAAAAAAAGATACATAGACATTTAATATCCTGATTCATCGTTTTCGTTTAAAAATTTCGCTACAGATAATCACGTTAACTCCGGTTTTGAGTATTTTTTTAATGCGATTGAAACTGGTCGCGAAAGGATTTCGACGAACCGCGTTTTCGTTCGCGGAAGCGGAGCCTACGGCAATTGGCTTCCGTTTTTGTTCCATCTTCATTTCGAAGATTAATTCCAGCGAGTGGATACGAAACTGGTGAAAAATCGAGGAATTAATGACGGGGTATGGGATGGAAACATGGCTCGCCAAGCTTCGAGAGGGATTACAATAAAGCCGCGGCTAATTCGCGGGCACCGACATGAGATTTAGATAATTTAAACTTCTCGTTGAGAATGTTCGTTTCGCGTTAACGAACCGGCTCGGATATATTATTTTCCACACCCTGATTGGGGGATCTAGTTCAAAGAGTTTCGTGTTTTATTAATAACGAAGGGGGAGCGTTAAATTGAACGAGTGAAAATTTTGATTATTGAATTTGGATGCGAAAATGGGAAGCTTTTCGGTTCGATAAAAGTGCAATTGGGCGAGTAAATAGAATTATTGAATGTAATTTTTAGTAGAAGGAGTACTGAAGTTTGAGAAAATATGATCAAAGATATGAAATTATTGGTATACATTTCTATTGAATTATTTAATAAATTGATCGTTGAAGATTTATTAAATAATACGAGTGTGAATTCTAAGTGTGATTCTTCAAAATAGAAGAATGGAAAATATTTCTGTAGAGATTGTAATTAATTTAATAAAAAAGATATTTAAAGAAATCTTTATTAAAATGAATATTATGATATCATTTTTGTTAAAAAATTTTGTAATATTGCTAGTATATTAATTTCCAATTTCTTTTTTAAAAAACAATCCTTATTTTCAATAGTCAAATAATCTGAAATCCATCTTTTTTTCATAATTATACAAAAAAATAGAGTAAATTATATAATATATAGAAGATTGAAAATATTAGAAGATTAAAAAAGTAATCAATATAAATCATATCATATCAATCGTTTTGAAAATAACATATTTTTTAAGAATTTTTTTTTTGGCAAGTTAATTAAGTATTTATCTACTTAATTATAATAAATATACATAAAAATGTAAATTACATTAATTAATATTCTTATAAATTCTTATAATATTTCTTATAAATAAATTACATTAATTAATAAAACTTTGCATACAATATTTTATTTTTAGAAATAAATTATTGAAAAATCTGATTATTAAAAAGAAACATTAAAAATCTGATTTAGCAAATATAAAATATTTATTGTTTATAATCGTGAATTAATATTTTTTTAGTATTTGTTCATGATAGATCACAAATCATTTCTATTTATCTATTATTTATTACATACAATTAAACTTCTATATTTATCAAATTCAATATTCGTCAAATCATATATATTTGCCAAAAAAAAATATTTCGGTATTTCTAAA